CACCTTGGGATCACTACGGTATCTGCAGAACAAGTAAATTAGGAATGTAAGTATCGAAGCAGAAAGTACTGAGAATGCAGCTTGTTTCTGCAATTTTAAAAGTGAAGAAGCACTATGGAACTGCTACTCACTCAACAGGGCACTGTCTCAAAATTTCTGCCTATCAATAGTTGCATTAACTCTAGTACTAGATTGAACTACTCAAAGATTAACAAGAGAAAAGCACACAGTAACCAAATAGCAAGGAGCAGAATGTGAATTTAAATTCTTAATGACACATGTGAATGCATGATGAGTTAGAATGTACTAACCCGTTTTATTTACAACGTCAGAGACACATATTGAGATTTGAGATGCTCATCCCAGACAACACAAAATCCACGATATAGAGAGATTCCTACAAGGCTACAAGAATGTACAATTCGAAGAAGAGTTATGCCGATAAAGAGAAACAGGCTGTCTGCTAAAGTATCATGATATATAATTATTTTAACTTTGTAAACAGTGTTTCCACAAAATCATGTACAGTGCAGATAGGATATTCATTGGGTAAATAAATATAGAATGAATCTTCTTTACAATCATATCTATTGTTGGTCTAGATCATCAAGCATTGAGAGAAAAAACGTGTGCATGAGTTTGATTAATACCACTAAACGAATAACTAGGATTAAACTCCTAAATAGTGTTATATACTAACCAATTTATGCACGGCATGGAAGGCACATGCAGAGAGAAGAAGATGTTGGTGCTTGACAACAACAGGAGTATGAAGCAATAGAGAGCGAATTCTATGAGGTTAGAAGACTGAAGAATGTACATTTGGAAGAAGAGACCTGCAGAGTAGGTAAACACAAGTGGATTAGTTGAAGCACTGACTGTGTTGAAACAAACAGGAGAGTGACCTTAGTAGTAGGCAGGAGTAGAAACAGGAAAGTTGATGTTACCTTGATTAGTCATACTCTGACTATTGGGATACTTCCTATCAGGTTGCGGCACTGCCTTTTTAGCTCCTCACTGTTGCCGTGCCAGACATCTATTAGCTTCAGTGAAGTTGGGAGACCGGCATTGGGTAGCGCCTGGATGGATGGACAGGAGGAGATGCGTAATTCTTGCAGGGATTTAGGGAGGCCGTCTTTGGGTAGTGAGCGGATTGCTGAGCAGTGGGAGATAGTTAAATTTTGGAGGGAATTAGGGAGGGCGTTGTTGGGTAGTGAGCGGATTGCTGAGCATCTTTCGATAGTCAGATTTTGAAGGGAATTAGGGAGGCTGTCCTCGGGCAGCAAGTGGATGGATGGACAGCCGTAGTAGATCTGTAATGTCTTGAGGCTTGTCAATCTGTGCAGCCCCGCCGGTAGGCTCTGCAGCTTCTCGCAACAAAGAGAATTCGAGGTGTTGTAGGTAGGTTAGGAGCTGCAGGGCCTCGTCCTGTTCCTCCGTGAAGCGCTCCATCTCCTCGTTTCCAGAAAGATGGTGAGGGAGGAAGAGAGGGGCCTGCAGATGGGTGCAGCAAGGGCTCCTGCGACGTCATCTGTCCTCAGCGACGACAGCAGCCCGGAGGTGATGATTGAGTCGTGGCCAATGGAGAAGAAATTGGTGGATTTTAGGACGGTTAGCTTCTGGAGGCAGCCGTGGGCGAGTAGACCGAGACCGCCAAGCCCACGCCTCGCAGGGCGTGTTGGTTCATGGATATCATGGATGGTATAGGAATATTCGTGGATGAGATAGGGTTGTACCATGGATAAGCTAGGTATGAATATCTAGAATATGGTATATTCTATTTAGATGTTATATATTTTGGTCACCAGAAAACGAGTGGGCAAGTTTATCCACAATTGGCGCGGACGCGCGGAAAAAGTGCGGGAGCGTGCGCAGACTTTCCTCACCTCCCGTCCTTATCTTCACCGTCACCACTCCCCTCCATACTCCACTCTCTCTCCACTCCCGCTCTCTGCTCAGGTTGGCGCTCCTCACCTTGCCCCTGCCATTCAACTCCCCTGCCGTTTGACTTCCTCTGCTAGGCACATCTCCCCACCGGTCGCATCTTTCTCGCCACTCACCTCCCTTCGACGGACAGTGGGCGGCGCAGCTTCCTCGCCGCACATCTCCTCCGTCGGACGCACGAGCAGCAGCAGAGAGCAGCGGATGGGAGACAACACCGCCACGCACGGCCGCACATCTCCTTTGCCAGGCACACATCAGTAGCAGGGAGCAGGCCCTAGCGGCACATCTCTGCTGTCCCTTTGCTGTTCGTCTCGCACAGCAGGGAGAAAGGAGCAGGTATTAAATATTCTCCTTCCTAATCCTTTGGTAAAAAAATATGGTTAATCTGAGAATAGAAAATATGATTGATAGTTGATTGAAGTGACGATGCATTCTTGCTTTTGGATATCCATAGATCTGGACTTGTAATATGTGAATATTATCTTTTTATGTTCATATTTGATTTTTCCTTCAGTTTAGCTGATGGACAAGAGGACTAAGATCTTGATTTATGCAGCTGCAGCTCATATGTTGCTTTCCATGATGGCAATAGTTGTTAGGTACAGGTATAGGAAAAGGAAAAGGAGTGAACGTAGACAGTGCATTAGCTATGGTCCAATGGACAAAAGAGATAGAATGAGAATTGATTATCTAATGCGGAATTCTTCAATAAGCCTATTGAACACTGTGGTGAGATGGCTACTATCTTTGGTTCTACTATTGCCACAGGGAAGTATGCAAAGGGATCAAATGAGTCTCTAGCAACTGGAATTGATGAAAATGAACAAGGTGAAGATGGTGGCGATGGTGATACTACTGTTGCTCCTGATGGAGCTACATCTTCAGTTACCAGGCCTAACAAAATAGCAAAGACAACTGAAAGGGAGAGGGAAGATGATGGACTAATACAGGCAATGAAAGAAGTTGGGGGAAGAATCTCTTGTGCTATAAATAAAACCGGAATGCCTGACAAACTTCCTTAAGGTCTGTATGATGTTGTTTGTAGTCTTTCAGGCTTTGATGACATTCATCTATCATTTTACCAAGAGCATCTTGTTGACCGTCCAAGCAAAGCTAGAGCATTTTGTTCTCTGTCTTTATCTCACAAGCTGAACTAAGCTGCAAAGTTCATTATCGTGCAGTTCCTTGAAAACTGAAGATATGGTTGTTATGCCTTGTTGCACACTACTGCTATAGCTCTTTTGCTAGTACCCCATAAACAATACACTCTTGGGTTGTTACATATTTTGTACGTAATGTGAGGAAGTTCTAAAACCTGCTAATTATCTACATATGTAATTTCTGTTTGGATAATGCATGTGTTCATCAAGGTGTCATATGTTTTGTGTATGTGTTGCAGCTGTTGTGTATGTTTTGTTGGGTAACCTCACCAGTTTGGGTAGGTGGTGACTGCATCTTCCTTGTTTATCCTTGTCCATCCAACTAAACAAAAATGATTCGTCCCATCAACACATCCATTGAACAAAACAGAAAAATGACTCGTCCCATCCGCCCAACAAAATGATATATATGGATATCCATACCTCGATATCCATAAATATCTATATCCAATCCACCCTGTCCTCGAACCGAACAAACCCTTAGATCCCCGCCGCATGCGAGTATCTCCAAAGTAGCTAGGGATGCGAGGTTTGAGAGGGGCGGCAGAGTAGAAACAGGAAAGTTGACGTTACCTTGATTAGTTATGCTCTGATTATTGGGATACTGCGACACTGCCTTGTTAGCTCCTCGCTGTTGCCAAATCTGACATCTATTAGCTTCAGTGAAGTTGGGGGGACGCCCTTGGGAAGTTCCCGGATTAATGGACTATAGTCGATTTTTTAGTTCTTGCAGGGAATTAGGGAGGCCGTCCTCGGGGAGTGAGCAGATTGTTGAGCAGTGGAAGATAGTCAAATTTTGAAGGGAATTAGGGAGGCCATGCTCGGGGAGTGAGCAGATTGCTGCAGCAATCGGATGGATCGACAGAACTCGATCTCTAATGTCTTGAGGCTTGTCATTCTATGCAGCCCCGTCGGGAGGCTCTGCAGTTTGTAGCAACTAGCGAATCCGAGGTGCTGTAGGGTGGTTAGGAGCTGTAGGGCGGCGTCCTGATCCACCATGTAGCGCTCCTTCTCCTCGTTTCCAGAAAGTTGTAACTTGGGCCCCGTTCGCTGGTCTGAACTTTGACTGAAACTGGGTGAAAAACACTGTTCCGCCTGAATTGTTGTGAGAGAAAAACACTGTTCCGGCTGAAAAAATAAGTCGAACAAGCCAAATTTAAGACAGACGAACGAGGCCTTGGTGAGGAGCCTGCAGATGGGTGCAGCAAGGGCTCCTGCGACGTCATCTGTCCTCAGCGACGACAGCAGTCTGGAGGAAGTGATTGAGTCGTGACCAATGGAGAAAAAATGGTGGATTTTAGGACGGTTAACTCCTGGAGGCAGCCGTGGGCGAGGAGACGCCCCAAGCCCACGCGTCTTAAATCCCCGCATTTGATTATCTCCAAAGTAGCTAGTGATGCGAGGTTTGAGAGGGGCGCCAGCGTCTCCACGTGAGAAAGGTAGAGGAATTGCAGGGAGGATGGGAAGGGGAAACTAGAAGAGGACGAGGCATAGCAGCTCAGGAACTTGGGGCAATCAACGATCAGAGGGCACAACAGAGTTTGGAGGCGGAGCCTTAGCTCTGGGCAGGATGTCAACCATAGCTTATGTAGTTGGCGAGGCAAGAGCAGCAACCCCTCCTTCTATTTCCTCCTCTTCTCTGCTCCTACGAGAGGAAGATGCCATCGCCTCCTCCTCCTCCTCCTCCTGCTGTTCCACCACACCTCATCTTGTCACATTTAACAATTGTCAATTCTAAGAGCTTGGGCATGTAAGAGAGAACTTGTGTTAATTTCTTCCCACTAGTAGCACCAACATTGTAGATTCTCATCCTCTTAACTTCAGATTGGTAGCCGGCATGCCTCCCATCTTCAATCGGCCCAAATGCATTATTACAATTTGATATCTCCAGGCGTTCTAGCGATGACAGCTTTTGGAGGCCATCAAACGGTAGAGGAGGCCATCAAAGTGCAAGCCCGTCCAGAACGACACACTACCCTGAGTGTCCTTTTTTCCAGTAATCTTCAAGGATAATCTCTCGTAGGTAAGACTCTTAAAGCCTAAACCAACTTCTGATATCGAAATAAAGCACGGACTGGGATTCCAAGGAACAGGAGGCAAGGACAACAACTTTGGACAATTTTCAACCACGAGCCGTCGCAGTTTTGGAGCCGGTGTCTTTAGATCTTGTTGGCTGTAATTACAATATGGAAATTGCAACTCCATGAGTTCAGGGCAACTTTTAATGATGAGTTCTTCCAAATGAGATAACAATTGACCACTGCTACCAACAACCCATCTTTCTAGCCTTTCCAAATTGACAAGTTGTACGCTTTTCAAATTCTTGAAGTGCTGGCTAGGGCTATTACTAGGTTTTTCTTCAGCGCCCTTATTAACTAGCTGCAAATCACCACCTATAGGTGGAAATGTTTCCCAGTCCACGCCATCTAGATGAAGAGATTCCAGATTTTGAACCGACGGACCTAGCCAAGAAGGCCAAGTACCACCTCCATGCCCTCTAATGCTTAGTTTGTGAAGATCGCTATGCGGCTTGAGACCTTCAAGAACTTGTTCTTCATGTGCAGGGTCATTGTTAGACCGTTTCACATTCCAATTTAATATTAACTCATTCAGTTTTTTCTTGTGCATTAACTTTGCTTCATCTGCTCCTTCCCTTCCTTCAACATTTTCAAGATTATCAATTTGCAACGATCCACAAAGGTCAAGCAGATGTCCTATCTGGCTCAGTTCAAAACCCTGACATTCTTTTCCAACCGCAAATGTTTGTAGCCCTTGTAATGACTTCAATTTTTCCACCTCTGAAATCCTTGAGTGCACACCATACCTAGCAAGAAAATGGCGCAGTTTTACAAGGTTACTCATATATCTTGGTAAATTCTGGTAGTCTTGGCACCCGAGTAGATCTAGGACCCTAATGTGATAAAATCTTGAAATACTTTTGGAGGCTACCAGTTCTCCATACAACCAATTGCCATGCACCCGAATATACCGAAGATGGATAAGCTCTGAAAAGTTGTGCAATAAATCTTCCATGCGATAGAAGTCTCCAGATATCATAATAACACGAAGGGATTTTGCTTTACTAAACAAACCATGGAGAGTCTTTGCAAAGCTACCTTGGTGTTTCCCAAATAACATCAATGAGTGCAGGTTCTCAACTCTTAGTCTTTCTCCGAGTACACTAAAATCTTCTTTAAAAGTATCAAAAGCCTTTCTATCATTGACAGTTGAGTCATCTATGTTGATGGACAAGTGGTGGATCGATGGAAGAATTTGTATGGATCTCACATTTGAACTATATAGGCTAAGGCATTCATCTGCTGAAACCTTTAGCCCTAATTCATGCATTAGATCATGAATAACATACCAAGTGCGTCCATCATCATCTTCTTCCTTTTTAAAAAATCCATGATTAATCAACTCTATCAAATAGCTTCGTCCTATATCTTCAATTTTTTTTTATTTTCACCACGTGAATGCAAAACGTCTAGTCCGATCCAAAAGTGAATTATCTCTTGTTCACTGAATCTGTAATCTTCTGGAAACAATGAACAATAGGTAAAACATTGTTGCAGATGAAAAGGGAGATAGTCAAAGCTAAGCTTCAGTGCTGGCATAATGTCATGATCTCCACTCTGTGATTCCCATTCCCTACTTTCTAAAACTCTAGTCCAATGAACCAAATCAAGGTGGTTTCTCAGCAATCTTCCAACAGTTTTTGCAGCAAGAGGTGAGCCCTTTAGTTTTTTAATTATCTCAGGTCCAATACCAAGTAGTTCACTATGATCCTCTGGTGGTTTCTTGTTGCCAAACACATATGCAAAGAATAACTTCTTAAATTCTTCCTCGTCTATACCTTCCAGGTCTATCTTATCAGTTGTTTTAACCATCTGTGCTAACGCAGGAAACCGAGTTGTGACTAGAATAACACTGCCTTTTGTTTGTCCTTTCTTAAAGGGTAATAGGAACCTTTTCCACTCATCCTCATTACTACAACTCCACATATCATCCAAGACAAGCAAAAACCTTTTAGATTTTAATCCTTCTTCAATCCTATTTTCTGGAATACCCTTTTCTTCCTTTTTCATTTTTGTCCGCAATCTCTTGTGTCAATCTCAACACATTGAAATTAACAGATACACATACCCATAGTTTTACCTCAAAATGATCCTTAAGTTCCTTATATATGTGCTGTGTTAAAGTCGTCTTCCCTATGCCTCCTGGACCAACGATTGGGAGTACAGTTAGGTCCACATCATGGTATTCTCCCTTAATGTCATCAACGACCTTACTTATGACGTCCTTCCTACCATAAAATTCAGGCTCTATAGGCTCTGAGGTGGTTATGGGCCGACCCGTAGCCATGTACTGCTCATTATTGTTTAGGTTGGCTGCCAGCAATTCTAGATTAAGAATTGTTGATACCTTGGCACATAGAGGCTTTAACTGCTCTATAATATCCTTCATCTTTCGAGACATCTCAACCCTATCAAACTTCAACTCTGGTGTTTGTAAGACGCGCTCTCTCTGTGACGCCGTATTGGTCTGGGCACAACAGAGGAATCGACGCCCAGTGGATGTAGCATTGGAGTTTGCAGCATTTTGGGCAGATGAAACTGACGAGCAACATGGAAGTGGAAGGTGTTTACCAACAGTGTGGATGGTGCTACGGGCAGCAGAGGTGATCCTGCTCATGCAGCAGTTGTTAACTAGTCGTTGATCGGTTCCACATGGACATGGCCAGCAAACTCCTCCTTGCCTTGGATCTTCCTCCTCGTCATCATCAGAAGCTTTGACGCCAGTACATGGCCAATGTCCACCACACGAGAGGACTCTTGCGCTTGTTGTATCTTCATGTGGCTCGTCGTGGGTAGCATTAGCAAAGCAGGCGGAGCACTTGGAGAAGCCCAACATTTTTGCAATGGCTCTGGCGGCGTGGCGAGCATTGAGGGCGTGGTTGCGAAGGCAACCTCCCTCATGCTCCTCAGCCGCATGGTAGGTGCCTTCGAGCTCGTCCTGGATGCGGAAGTAGTCGACCTCATCCAGAGCGTCGTCGGCCCTGTACGCCAAGTCCCGTAGCTTGTGCAACAGCTCGGACAGGGCCGGGTTCTTGATCCCCGGGCCGTGGCCGTGGTGGCCACGGGCGTTGCTGAGCATGCCCTCTGCATACAGCAGCTCCATCCTGAGAGCCTCGATGTTGCCACCCAGCTCGGTGCTGGCCGCCCACGCCTCCAGCACCCCGCCCGAGACAGGGCCCAACGCCTTGCCGATCATCCATCGCGCTGCCTCCACGCCCAGCTCCATGGCCGCCAAGGCAACGGCGTAGGGACGAGGCCCAACACTGAAATAAAGATTAAGTCTTTCTGTTAATTAGTTTCAACTTTGAAAGACGAGACTGTGAGACATCATCAGGCCAGGTCGGAGAGAATGGATGGATGCGCAGGCTACCAACCAGATGAAGCGAAGGTTCTTCAACTCAGCAGGCAGCAGCAACGAGCCAACGATGAAGGCAATGCAAACTTGAAGCTGGCGAGAGAGATGCTCAAAACCACTGTTTAGACCGACTCCTACGGAGCAATCCAAATCCAAAAATAAGTCTCGCACACTACTTTACCTATCAAATACCGGCTCCAACGGATGACCCAACCACACGACGCATTTTGCCTGCTAGCCCAAACGAAACGCAAAAAAGCGTTGCATCTCTCCTCGCTAGAAGGCAATGCAAACTTGAAGCTGGCGAGAGAGATGCTCAAAACCACTGCTTAGACCGACTCCAACAGAGCAATCCAAATCCAAAAATAAGTCTCGCACACTACTTTGCCTATCAAATACCGGCTCCAACGGATGACCCAACCACACGACGCATTTTGCCTGCTAGCCCAAACGAAACGCAAAAAAGTGTTGCATCTCTCCTCGCTACGCAAATCTTCGAGCGGAGTCTGCTTCACCTTCTTCTCCACGCGCGACCTCCACCCGCAAGCACGCGAGCACACACGCGAGCACGCACGCGACCTCCATCGGCAAGCACGCGACCTCCACCGGCAACCACCGGATCCCCCGCCGCGACCTCCACCGCAAGCACGCGAGCACGAAGGAGCCTCCGCCAGCAAGCACAAGCACGCGCGAGCACGCAGGAGCACGCTGGCCTTCACAAGCACGCAGGAGCACGCAACCTCCGCCGGCTAGCACGAGCACGCCGGCAAGCACTAGCAGCAGACGACCAACGGCGGGCAAGCACAAGCACACCGGCCTTCACGAGCACGAGCAAGCCGGCAAGCACGACCTCCGCCGGCCTTCTTCTCCAGCTCGCAGGAGCCCAAATCGAGCCTCCCGGCGCCCGAATCAAGCTTCCCCGCCTCCGAATCGACTTTCCCCACCGCTGAATCAAGCTTCCCTGTCCCCAAATCGAGCTCATCGTGCGGTCCACTGCCACCTTCCTCCTCTGGCTCCACCGCGCGTTCCTGCGCCCAAGCAGGGACCTGGTCGGGCGGTACGTGACGTGGGGGTGGTGGAGGCGTCTGTGTGGGAGGCTGTGGCGCGGGTGAACGTCGAGGCTGCGGCGGGCGAGGTAGGCAGCTCGGCGACGTCCTCGGCCGTGCAGTCGTCCTCCGCTTCGGGATGGGCTCTGCTTTTGCGTCGCTGTTGGAGAGGGCTGAGTTATGGGTGCGTTATCTTTTCCTGTGCATAACCCAAAATCGGGAATAGGTGTCGTATTTAGGTCTTCCTTGTTGGAGACAGTCTTAATAGAGAGATGTGATGTGAGCAAATGGGCAATGGCACAAACCACTATCAATATCGTGCCGGATAGAATCTGAGAAGCTTGATGAGCACAACAATCTTTAGCGAGTGCGCCATTGTCTTTTACTTTACTTTTAGGAAAGCACAAAAGGGACATTTGATGCCCGGTTCCACTGGCACATGAGGTTGTTGAAACTAACTTCGCATAAACATACTTCACGTGTGTACATAATCTTAATCTTCTTCCACCTATACATGATCACTAGGCTTGCTACAAACGTAGCATGCAGTTTGAAAGCATCTAGGCCCCTCGTTGGGTTTCGTGATTAATGACAATACATGATTACTATGGCTAACGTGTGTTTTGCAGAGGTAATTAAGTTAGGTCATGATAATAGCAATTGATTGGGCAATCATGGTTGTCATGCCCCTACGATAGAAATCGTTTCAGTTTTCGAAGGATGGACGATAAGGTTAAGGATGGACTAGTTCTAAGTGTCGTTTGGTATTGAAAAGACACTTAGAGTAGTTTAGGACTTTGTTTTTCCTTTGGCCATACTATTAAGGGGGGCTATGAACTAGTAGCTTGACCTAGGTGAGTCTAGTGGGTTAGGTGTGGTGCACACTTGTCAAATCTAACACTAGGTAGCTTCGAAGTAGCCCTAAGATCAATTGGAGCTAACTTCATTCACATATGTTGTCCAGTTGGAAGTGAATGGAGAGTCAAATGTTGACCGGACGCTGAACCGGTTGGGACCGGACGCTGGCAGTAGAGTCTGGTCAGTTTATTTGATCAAGGAGAAGTCATCTGGTTTCGATCGGACGATGAGTGAAATGTGACCGGACGCTGGATGTCAGAGTCCGGTCAACTCCAGTAAGGTTCTAGAGAGGAAGAATCCTAATCGGACGCGTCCGGTCAGTGCTGACCGGAAGCTAGTCAGGTTCCGGTTACTGACCGGACGCTGAACAGCAAAGTGACCGGACTCTAGGTGCTAGCATCCGATCAACATCAGTAAGGGTCCAGAGAGTAGTTTTCATGACCGGACGCGTCCAGTCAGTGCCGATCAGATGCAGGTCAGAGTCCGATCACAACTTAACGGCTCTATGCAGGAATAACCGACCGGAGCGTCCGGTCACCCCGTAGAACGCTGACGCAACCTCCTAACGGTTCGTTTTGAATGAGGGGGTATAAATATTTCCTTTATTCATTCAAGGGAGGTCTCTTGCCCATTTGATCAGCAGAGAAACACCCTTGAGAGTGCTTTGGAGAGAAAGAGCCTAGTGAGGTGATTGTGATTTGAGATTCCAAGATTACGGCCTCATTAGTGCAAGGAGAGTAGCAAGTGTGCATCCACCCTTCTTATTAGGCTTGTTGTGGTCAAGTGAGAGTTCGTGCTTGTTACTCTTGGTGATCGCCATCAGCTAGACGGCTTGGTGGTGATCGGGAGTTTAGTGATCATCCAGCGGAGCTTGTGGATGACCCAACTCAAGGTGTGAGCGGTTGTGGGTGATTCACTACGACGGAGTGTCAAAGAATCAACCCGTAGAGAGCACTAGATCCTTGCGCGGATCAAGGGGGAGCTAACCCTTGCGCGGGTGCTCCAGCGAGGACTAGTGGGGAGTGGCGACTCTCCGATACCTCGGCAAAACATCACCGCGTTCCTTCTCCTCTCTTTATCTTGAGCATTTACTTTTGAGCAATTCAATTTTTGTCTTTACATTTTTAGAATTGCCATGCTAGTGTAGGATTGGAACTTAGGGTGCTAAACTTTTGTGCGGTAGATCATTAGAATCACATTCTAGGCAGAAGGGGTGAAGTGGGCTAAGTGTAGAGTTTAATTATTGCATAGAATTTTAAAATTAGCCCAATTCACCCCTCTATTGGGTATCTTGATCCTTTCAATTGGTATCGGAGCCTCGTGCTCACATATTTAGGCTTAACCGCCTAGTGAAAGATGTCCCACAGGGATGATCCTCCTCCTATCTTTGAGGGAGATGATTTTCCTTATTGGAAAATCTGCATGGAGGCGTACTCAGAAGCTCTAGATGTTGGAATTCTTAGAGCCGCCTCTCAAGGCTTCCCAAAACCTAGGGATCCCGCACATCTTCAAGGCGATGAGAAATGGAATGCAAAGGCTAGAAACACCATCTTTAGAGGCCTTTGCAAGGATGTGTTTAACCATGTGCGGAACCACAAGGACACCCATACACTTGGTCAGACATTTGTGCGCTCCATGAGGGAACAAAGAGCGAGCGTGAGCAACGCTATCATCTTGTCATGAAAAAGATTAATTCCTTTGAGATGCTTCCGAAAGAAAGCGCTAATGAAATGTACTCACGTTTAAATGTTCTTGTAGAGAAAGTTAATGGGCTTGGACTAACACAAATGCAACCATCCGATGTTGTAAGAAAGATCTTGAGTGTCCTCCCCATTGACAATTATGGATACATTATGACCGTGCTTCATCAAGGTGATCTTTCCACCGCTACACCAACTCAAATCTTGGGAAAGATCAATGCTCATGAGATGTATATGCACATCACACCACAAGATGGCTCTTCTTCTACCAAGAAGAAAGACAAAGACTTGGCATTCAAGGCTAGCCAAGAGAAGGGCAAAGCAAGAGTTGAGTAAGAGAGCTCAAGTGATGATAAAATTGATGATGCAAGTCATGCTCTCATGGTGAGAAGAATCGCCAAGATGCTAAAGAAGCTGAACAAGAACGGTGTCAAGTTTGATGGCAAGAAAAAGAAGTTCTTCACTAGCAATAGAAGAAAGCCAATCTCAAAGATGGATTGCTACAATTGTGGAGAACTTGGTCATCTAGCTCATCAATGCCCCAAGCCAAAGAAAGACAAGTACAAGGGCAAGAAAGATGACTCAAGTGATGAAGATAATGATGAGAAGAAGAAAAACAAGCCATACAAGAAGAATGATGGCAAGAAGAAGGATTTCTACAAGGAGAAGAAAAATGGCAAGGCATACATCGTCGGTGATTGGCTCATGGATATTGATTCATCAAGTTACTCATCCGATGATGATAGTGAGAATGAGAAGGTGGCCGCTATTGTTATTGACTCGTCATCATCTTCACCGACACCACCACCATTATCCTCTACACACCTATGCTTTATGGCCAAGGGTGAACGAAAGGTATCAAATGATGATGAAAGTAGTGGTGATGAACATGCTAGCAATGATGATAGTGATAGTGATGATGATGAATTTGAATCACCTTCATATGACGATCTTGTTAAATTGCTAAATCAATACACTAAGATCATTAGAAAGTCAAGAGCTAAGAATGAAAAGCTAGAACTTAAGAATGACTCTCTTTTAGCTAAATGTGACATAGCGGAAAAAGCTATTGTTGAGCTTAGAGAAGCAAATGATACCGTGTCATCCAAACTCAAGGAGCTCAAATCTTCTAAGAAAGAGCTTAAAGAAAAACATAATAAACTTGAGGGGCTGCATAAAGAGCTCATCACTAGCTACAACATGCTAAAAGAAAAATATATAAATCTCAAGATCAATCATGATAATCTTGTTGTCTCTAATGAGCTAT